ACAAGGAGGAGAACCCATTCATGGCTGTCAGACAACATCTGCGACCACTTTACCCCTTACATCTGACCACCTAATTCTCCAGACTGCAACTCCCTTGATTATTAGGTGTGGAGATCTGTTGAACGAGAGACCAACAAAAATCCTTGTAACACCAAAGATGAACTGAAGGCAAGGATTATGGTAGCATTCGCTAACTTAAACAGAGAGAAGAGTTGTAGGAGATTCCGATGTCATCTGGAGGCCGTGTTTGAAGCCAATGGCGATTTTATTGAATAAATTTACTCTTTAGTATTTAAAAATATTTTTTGTGTAATATTGCTAAATATATCTGTTAAAATGAGATGTCAGTGTTATTTTCATTTTTGCGCTATTTAGACCACAATTTATCCATCGCACCTTGTATATAATATCGGGTTCAAAGTGGCTCACAATCCTTCCTAAGTTCCGATCTAGCCTTTTTGTCAGATATATGAAATTAGGTTCGGCAGTCGTGTAACTTTAAGAAGATTCGAAAAGAGTTGGATGAGTCTAATGGTGATTACGAAGGTGTTTGGAGTGATCACTATTGATGACGACGTTATGCCTCCATTCATCTTCCCACATCAACTCTCCCAGACTGCAAAAGTCTTGATTATTATGTGTGAGGCGCAGTTGAGCGAAAGACCAAAAAAAAAAAACTTCTTGTAACACCAAAGATGAAATGAAGGCAAGGATTATGGCAGCATTCACTAACTTAAACAGAGAGTCCGTCCAGAAGAGTTGTATGAGATTCCGAAGTCACCTGGTGGCTGTGGTTGAAGCCAATGGTGATTTTATTGAATAAATGTACACTTTAGCATTTCAAAATATTTTTGTGTAATTTTGGTAAATATATCTGTTAAAATGCGATGTCACTGTTACTTTCATTTTTGCGTCATTTAGAAGACAATTTATCCATCGCACCCTGTATATAATATCGGGTTCAAAATGGTTCACAATTCTTCCCAAATTCCGATCTAACCTTTTTGTCAGATATATGAAATTAGGTTCGGCAGTCATATTTTCAGCACCCCTTGTATATATGCCTTACTTCAGTGTCTTATTATTATTATTATTATTAAATGTGGGGCGCAGTTGAGTAAGAGACCAACAAAACTCCTTGTAACATCAAAGATGAACTGAAGGCAAGGATTGTGGCAGCATTCACCAACTTAAACAAGGAGACCATCCAGAAGAGATGCAGGAGATTCTGAAGCCATCTGGATGCCGTGTTTGAAGCCAATGGCGATTTTATTGAATAAATTTACTCTTTAGTATTTCAAAATATTTTTGTGTAATTTTTGTAAATATATCTGTTAAAATTAGATGTCAATGTTATTTTATTTTTGCTGCATTTAGACGACAATTTATCCATCGCGCATTGCATTTTCAGGGTGACCACTGAAAGACTGAAAGATGTAAACCAAAAATAAGCTTTACAAAGACTTGTGTATCGTAGTAAATTTGGACCATTTGAATCTTGTACGGAAAAAAATATTTAAATCCAGTTTCAGAATCTTCTGAAGGAATGGTCTGACGATGCCGAATTGAGCAGAGCTTCGACGGGTAGAAGCTGATAAGATCCTCCATGAAACTCTACCGTACATCTTCCACCGCTGCTGTCAGTGTGTATAGTGAGC